TCCAACAACACTGTACTGCTGTATGTTTCATTTCCCTCTGACATCCGTTCCACTCATCAAGTACCAGGACCATAGAAGTGATGTATGTGTCGGTTCCGGCAATCCCAGCACGCCCTCTTCGCCCTCGGGTTTTTCGTGATAATGGTCCTTACTGTTTTCAGCACACTCCTGTATTACCTCATTTTCAGAGGGAAGAAACGCATTCTGACGGGCTTGTAGGTATTTCGCTGAAAGAGCACGTGGGACGATATACTCGACACTTTCATCAACACCGACGGAGACCCATCCCAGTTTGCTGTACGTGTCTCGTAGCTTTCGGGCTGCTTCTGACCCCCTTGTAGTCAATACCAGCGGCCGCTGGTAAGTCTCTTAACGAGTGCCACTTCCATTCTGAACAATCTCCTCCACAGGTTCGTGCTAGTTAGTACGTCAAAGATCCTAACCATCACAATGACTATTCCTAACTTTTTCGCAGCGATAACTACCGTAGGCTATGGAGAAATTACGCCGCGGTCGTTTCTTGGCCGTCTAGTCACACTCCCGCTCCTGGTCTTTGGACTCCTCTTGATCGCTCTCCCGAGTTTTGTCCTCGGACGAGAATTCAGTCTCGTCTGGGAGAGAATGACCCGCGACGTCAGTACCTACCCAAGTATCTTCGGTTCTCACACTGCATAGTCTCCGCACTCCGAGCCCGTCTCTCCGACCTCCCCATTCCTCCGCCGCAGCCGGAATGTGGCGGCATTCTTTCCTCCACAGACTCCTATGGCCCCCGACCTCTCCAACCGCAAGCTCGCACACAACCAGACAGAGCTGAGCAAACAGATAGCGGAGCTTCGGTGCATAGTGGAGGCGCAAGGTCAGCTGGTAGCGCGACTGGTTGCTGCTTTGGAGAGTGGGGATGCTGCGAAAGGGAAGGGCAAGGCGCGTGCGCGGGATCTCGGTTATTCATGAATATTTCTTAATATAGAAGGTCTCCGGTATTGTATTTTCATGCGTGGGATTATGCCCGCATGCTTCAGTCTGCCTCTGACCATCTAGGACGACTTCGGGATCACATGGATTGCAGCCCTCAACGGCCAAACCCTCATATACTTACGAGCAAATGACGAGTTGGTAAATAGCCATAGGAATTTTTCAAGGAATTTTGTCATGGATACTCCTCGAATACGGGAGGTCCGCAGGCCTCAGTACTGTATGGTCGTTTATCCGACATAAAAAGACGTTGGTTGGAGACGATTGGGTGAACACCAAAAAGAAACAAAAGAAACAAAAGGAAACGACACTGGCATGATTCGAACATGCGCCCAGAAACTGGAACAGATTTCTAATCTGTCGCGTTAACCACTCCGCCACAGTGCCTTATACTCAAGCTGCATTCTATCAATAATATAAGTACAAAATGTTTCTGAAACTTAATTCCCGCTTTCATTTGGCTTTCATGTACTGAAAGTCAATGTACTTTCCCGGATTCTCAACCTAACGCTTCTTTCCGCCGTCCACTCAAATCGAACTAGGTTCAAGCTTTCTGAAATAGTCATGTTGGCTGCGGTCAAAGATGATCAGAGAGATCAGCAATCAAAGAACGCCGTCTCGCACCTTCATCGCCAACATTGAACGATAGTGTCTTGAACGGATCAGATCCGCCATGACCCTGGCGAGGCGGAGCGCCAGGATTGAAAAAGCTGGAAAAGCTTGAACCAACCTTCCACACAAGTACCACGCTCTCCTCAAGAGAGAGTGTCACCAAGCGCCGACCATCCGGCGAAAAACTGCACGCCGTGATCGTTTTCTTGTGTCCTTCCAAGACGTACAGTCGGATTGCGGTCTTGAGGTCATACATGATTATAGCCCCTTCACTCGTTCCCACAGCCAAACGTTGGCTTGTCATGTGGAAGTCAACCGTGGGGAATCTGTTGTTCGTCAGGCGGTGTAAGTGTGAGGTGTGGGGGACATGCACACGTTTTGACCACGTGTCCGAGGATCTCTGTAGCAGTGTCCAGGACTGCTTCCCGATGCGCAGTGGAGTTAGGGTCCAGCGACTTGACTACCGCTTCCATAAGCCGTGGAAGATTAGGATATAGCACCAAAGGACGCTGGAAGATGTCAAGTTATTGCGCGTCGAAGGGGATCCTGTCACTGACCTTGCGAATGAGGAAGGCTACAATTTGCATCACGGATTTTCGGTGGTCCACGCCCAAAGGGTTGAGAATGTCAAGAGCCAGTGTTGTCATGAATAGTGCCGTGTTGTTCGAAGCTATCTGGAGGACAGCCAGCCGGGCCTGAGGGCCAGCGTTTTGGGCACTGATGGATTCCTTCCGAGAGCTCGTGGCTAAAGTAAAGAGTGCTCGTAAGATCTCCATTGCATCGATGTAATGTTGCCAGATGTGGAAGCCGCGAGAACAGAGGTCTATAGCAAGAACTCTATATATCGACTGTTCGTCGTGCAGATAAAGGGCGATCGATTTGGATATGTCAGTCAAGGCACTGGCCATTTCCGTCAATGCAAATATCCACGTCCAAAGGGTCACGTCACGCACTTGCTCGAAATCAACTATACTTTTCTGCAGCTATATATCCGCAGAGGAATAATGCGAGTGCTGCCGGTAACGATTCCCGATCCGTGGTAGATTGCAGGCAAGGCACTGTCAGTGGTAATTGAGCTATGCGTGCGGCAAAGGCCCAGAAACGCACAGTGATGTTGCCAATGCTCAGCCACTGTATTTGTCTCGTCATCAGGTAAGCGTGCTACGGCTGCGTCAAAAAGGGTGCGAGCAGCTTGGCGTAGTTCGTCTGGAACCTTGTAAGAACAGACAGCTTGTAATCACGATATCTGCTTACTAGAAGAATCGAACCACCGACGAGCCAGATACGTGAGGCTCGGTGGCTGATAAAGAGGTCCGACGACGGCAGACAGAGAAGTCGCATAGAACGCTATGACAGTAGTAGCGGATTCCGCAAGTTCTGTTGAAAGCTTTCAGTTCTTCGTGAGATCACACAGAAACAAGGTCCCAACCATCGAACAGACTCAACGCTCGAAGCACTACGATTATTGAAAGAGCGCGCGCAGCTGACACATCCCCTGAAACAGTCCAAGGGTCTCTACCTCGGCCACCGTTATACAAGCAAATTGACCCGCGGCTGCAAATTTCGACTTAATTTCAACCATAGATCGTGTATGTCGACGGACCTGTGAAAGCCAGCGTGTACAGTAGATAACTGTAAGCCGAGTTTTTCTTGGCAAAGCACGTCGATGTCATGGTTTAGCCCTGGTGTGAGTAGTGCGGACAGAATCAGTCGCAGTTGGTCTAGTGCGGAATATATTGCGCGAGTTTGGTCCCTCCCGGTACTGATTGACTTCGCGGTGATTGTGGACTCTGTGATAAATCTTTCTAGATCAAGGGATAGTGTGGAAGCTGAAATTGGACGGGTGAGGTGGGTGGAGCAGGGAGGGGAATGTCGTAGACTGACCGCAATCAGGAGTAACCCCCCCAAAAGGCTTTATAACTGTGTCTGGTCGGCACTCGCCAGCGTTGATAGATCTGTTTACCCAGTGAGAAAACGAACCATAGGCAGAAGTGTACGAGTTACATGTCAGTCCAACCACCTTGAGCGACGAGTTCGTCGGCTTTATCGAGGCCCATTGACCTCCAGAACTCCTTCGTTTTTACGTCCCAGAGGCGTGCACGGCGATCTGCGTATATTAACAAGATATTGTCTTCGCCCAAACATATCCGTTCGAGTGGAAAGACGGATCCTGGAATGAGATACAAGCTACATGGCATCAGCAGAGTGGCCAACGGACCGATTATAATTCAATCAGGATGCTCACAAATGAAACCCATCAACCACGATCACTGCTATGGTACCATCTTGCGAAATACACAGAACGCAGCCACGCAATGGACCTGGCTTATCGTCCCGAAATTGTACAACACTAGCCAGGGGTGTTGTAAAAATCGTCCACCGCGCGCACAGCGTGAGCGTACTTGCGGTTATATCAGTACAAGGGTGTCTTCAACAAAAAGAATTTGCAAGTACTCGGTGGCCCAAAATGCGATTGAACCGTCATCTCCTCCACCAACAATCAGCTGCTCACGCGTCCGACTATTGCGGACGATGTGTAGTCCCGTAACATATCCAGAGATAGGCACTTCTGAAGATTTCTGTGGAATCTTCGACGATGGCATGCACATCTGTGCCAGGGAGGATTGGCGCAGGTAACCGTCCACTGACAGGGGTCAACAACTGGACAATAATTTTGAAAGCAGGCGTACTGTATCCCAGAAGCACGGTATCAAGTCCAAGCGGCAAGATGAAGGTTTTATGGGGAGCCTGGGCTTGCCCGGTTTTGCCACTAGACGCTCTCCATATAACAGAGGACTTTGGCTTCAATTCAGGCGAGGCACTGATTGCATGAAGCGTGTAGCATTCGAGGATTCGACGTCCATCCTCCTTGAGTATCTTCGTAACGAGAAACTCTTCAACAGATGCGACATGCAATGCTTCGTTTGGTCCCATTGTCATGGTATGTAGGAGGTGAGGCCTCGATAATGATCAGGTTTGAACAGGGTCATCAGTGCAGGACAACATACTGCACGTGTACCTGGTCCTTGATGGTCAAGCCCTCCGGGATTTCATCGTCGTTAAAGTCCACTAATTTCAACCCATAAAAATCTGTTCGATCCTAGAAAAATGGAAAATGAAGTGGACTTTTCAGAACGCGAGAGAAAACAGGGATACCGCAAACACAACTGCATACGATCCATCGTTGATCCAGTCGACCTTCTGGATTAGTGGGCAAGGAGCTCTGAACAGGATGGAGAAAGAGTGCCTGTCGTATTCGAAAATCTGTTGCCCTGTAAGTGACGTGGAAACAAATATTGTAATAGACGCGCCATTAGATCACGCTCAGTCCAACAGATACCGCGTAATTGTGTACCGACCGAGCGTGACCGAAGACCGAGCAACGAACCATCAGGCAGCAACTGCCGACTTGGATTTCTTCTTCCAGACCAATACGCCCCGGCTCTTTTTTGTTCTCGGTGGGAGGCAGGTGTTCCGTCGACCGCGATTTCATGGCTTTGAACAACGGAAGAGAGGTAAGATTGTTCAGGTGTGGTTCTTCTGGTGCAACATCTGCTTGCTGGGGCAAAGCCTTGGGAAGAAAGTGCAATGTGCGTACAGAGAACCGCCCATCGGCAGTTACAGAGTAGAAAATAAAGTTTTCTGAAATAGCATAAGTGTGGCTACGGGAAGATAGCAAAAATCCTACTTTCTGCCTCTTCGTGTATCCCCACGCCGTTGGCGGGTCCGTCAAAATACCATTGACCGATCTTTTCAAGGTTCGCCTCGTAGGGGCCATGGTCGTCACTTGCACGTAGTTGGAATAGGACGAGCCTCGACTTTTCTAGGATCCCGTTATCAGGAGAATCGAGAGCCCCGTGGGATGCGGAGTTGACATCAATCGTAGCGGAGACAAGCAGCATCGAAGCCTTGAGATATGTCAATGGCTGCAGGTGTGACTGATGCACCCGACGCACCTCCCCAACACAGAATATTTGGAGATGAGTCCATATCCATACATCATGAGACGACTCTTGATCTGGAAAACTCTGCGGGGCTGCAATGGCGTGCCTCTACAAAAACAGATGCCAGGCAGGTCCCGTCTTCGCTCGAAAACACGGAGAGATCGCTAGAAGTGGTAGGTTATTTGAGGAACATCGAGGAACGCAGTCGCTTACCCAGATTCTTGTAATACCGCAAAAACAGTATTCTCTTCAAGAAATAGTACTGCTGAGATTGACCTCCCCGCCCCACATCGGGCGGGGATGATATGACACATCAAAACCAGGTCTTGAGTGTCGTCCAGAAACGACGACTGTGTCGCGGGTGAAGGCGGAGCTGAAACGGTTTTGGGTGTCTGAGAAGGAGAATTTGTAGCCGAGAGAAGTGATTTCGGCCCTTCGGATCGCTTTACACCATATATCGACGGCACTGGGGAGTTGTCGCTGGAAGTGGGAGCAGATCTGTCCTTGTAGTTTCGTCCCTTGAGCATGTCCTTGAGTTTGTCCGGCTCGTCATTGAAGTCGACATAATTTTTAGGCGCCTCCACTTGCGCATTCGTAATTCCAGAGACGACTCTGGAACGAGATGCCACGTTAAATGGGGCCTTAGGTGATATCGTGGGGGAAGTGGATCGCGAACTAATGGATGGAGGTTGGGACGAAGATGGCTGAGATAGCCGAGGAGGTTCTGGTGGTTGAGGGACAATTTTCACTTGCGGACGAGACTTGCGGAATGCATATATTGTACCATCTTCACATCCAAGAACAGCGTGAACTTGGGGTGGCTTGAACTGT